GAGAGAAGAGGAGAAGGAGAGAAAAGAAGAATGAGAAGGAGAGATAGAAGAAGAGAAGGAGAGATAGAAGAGGAGAAGAGAGAAGAAGAAGAGAAGGAGAGATAGAAGAAGGAGAAGGAGAGATAGAAGAAGGAGAAGGAGAGATAGAAGAAGAAGAAGGAGAGATAGAAGAAGAAGAAGGAGAGAAGGAGATGGAGAGAGAGAGGAGGAGGAGGAGAAGGTGAGAGAGAAGGAGAAGGGGAGAGAGAAGAAGGAGAAGTAGAGAGAGAAGGGGAAGGAGACGGAGAGAGAGGAGAAGAAGAAGAAAGAAGGAGAGACAGAAAACGAAATAGGAGAGACAGAAGAAGAAAGAGGAGAAGAAGGGAAGGGGTGGGAGGTATAACGAATACGGCAACTAACTTAGATATAAACAATATAAAAAAGACAAAAGAAGGAATACAAACGTTACAATAAGACCAACCCCACATTAATTTCGTAGAACCAACCTTGACGGTGAAGAAGTATTCCTAAAATCCTACCAAGACGTGGAAAGTTATTCCTGAAAAAACTAAGAAAATGGATAATATTAATTCCTTAAACCCATACAAGACTTTAATATCTATCTATCTATCTATCTAAATATCCCCTAAAACTCTAACAAAGTAAAGAATATCAATTTCTTAAAAAAATGTAATATCTATCTATCTATCTAAATAACCTCCTAGAATCTTAACAAAGTAAAGAATATTAATTTCTTTAAAAAATGTAATATCTATCTATCTAATAAATAACCCCAAAATCCTAACAAAATAAAGAACATCAATTTCTAAAAAGGGTGAAAGACTATGTATCGCTAAACCCCACAAACGATACAAAGAAAAACGTATTCCTTAAAGTGAATAAAACCCATCCTACAGGCCGCCTCAGCAAGCATTACATTATAAATTACCCACCACCTCTTAGAACATCGAGACGGGGTAAAAAAAAAATCTTAAAGAATTATATATACTAGAAATGATATAATATACGAATAATAATCTCCAATTTAACCTAGAGAAAGGCAAAAACAACAAAAGTAAGAAAGACAAAATGAAACATCAAAAGAAACAGACAAAACGAAACAACAAAAGAACAATAAACAGAATAAAACATCGAAAAAACGACACAAAAACAACACAAACACAAGACAAAAACAAGAAAAAAACCAAAGCAGACAAAAGCACAACAAAAAGCAACAAACATCCATACAGACGAAGACCCACTCCTTCCCTTAATGCTCCACCCCTTTACAAGCCCCTCATAGCCCGGCCGAGGTTCAGCTTCGCATATCGGACTTATCCTTACCCTTATTCTTCTTCTTATCCTAATTTTATCCTTATCCTTCTTATCCTTATTCTTATCCTTATTCTTATCCTTATCCTTATCCTTATCCTTATCCTTACCCTTACCCTTACCCTTACCCTTACCCTTACCTTTATCCTTACACCTACCCTTATCCTTACCCATATTCTTATCCTTATTCCTTACCCTTACCCTTACCCTTACCCTTACCCTTACCTCACCCTTATCCCTTACCTCATTTATCCCTTACCTCACCCTTATCTTTATTCTTATCCTTATCCTCACCCTAACCTATTCCTCATTCCTTATTCCTTATTCCTCATTCTTATCCTTACGACCCACAGTTCCTCGCGGATGACCAGCGAGGCGAGAGCGGGAAAGTGACGACCCACCCGCTCGGAATGCTCATGCCAGCTCGTCGCTTGAGGATATCCATGCCCACGGATATCAGGTGGCCAGGTCACGACACCAAGTGCTTTCGCTTCGAGGTCCTGGGCTGTCCGAAAGGTCAGTCGAGGTCACTGGTGGAGGAGGTGGTGGTGGTTGTTTGTCTTACTGTTGTTTTATGATTTTTATTATTTTTGTTATTTGTGGTAGGATGTTTTATTCCTTTTTGGGGGGGTTTCTTATTATTATTTTATATTTTTATTATTAGTGGTAGGATGTATTGTTTTCCTTTTTTTTGGGGGGGAGGGGGGCATGTTTTGCCTTTTCTTTTAACTTATTTCTTCTTGTTTTTTTTAATATTTTTATATTTGTGGTAGGATGTATGTCTTTTTTCCTTTTTTTTTTGGGGGGGGCATTTTTTTTATTTTTAACTTATTTCTTATTGTTTTATATTTTTTATTATTAG